ATATCGAAACTTTTGAAAAGGATGGTAGTGCTCAGTCTTGCTTGGTGGATCCAAACTGAAAAATGCTGGATTGAATTCGTCTGAGTTCATTTGTAGTACAGTATTAACATCATCTCTTGAAAAAAGGCCTATCCTACCATCTTTGGAACTAGCAGGCACTACTAGTAATTCAATGGAGGGATTGCTTGAATCTGTATTAAACCGAAATCCACAAAGTTTTGAGTATTCCATGTTTCCCCCTAGTGTATGTCCTCTGCTTAACCAACCATCATTATCTCTTGGACTGAGTAGTGATGTCATTAGCCTACTAACATCATCCCAAGTCCATCTTTTTTCTGCCAGTAGTCCTTCCATTGCTCTAGAGTGTGCTGCCTCTGGGTCCTGTAGAGGGTGTACATGGCTTATATCATTCTCATGTAACTGATAACGTAGCTCAGCCTCTGTTATTGGCCTTTGTTCTGGGCTGATGTGTTGAAGGGCTAGTAAAAATTTGCTGTGGATTTTGTTTACTTTGAAACTTAGCAAGGCTATCTCAGAAAGTGACACTAGAGGCATTTCCCACAAGGGACAGAAACGGCAATTATAAAGAACATTATGCAAGAGCAATGCTGCTAACTCAATTGCTTCTTCTCCTGCTACTAACTTGGTCAGTTGAAGTGTGTGGAGGAGTATACTAAGTGAGAGACGTGATATGTATAACTTCATACCAGGAGCAAACCTTAAAGTAGCCATCCCATTAGCTTGATACAGGCAGATAACTACTGTCTTGGTTAGGGCATATTTAACATTATCAGTGAGCAAGGGATTAGCTTGTATATACTTATATATCCATAGTGATGCATATATAAAGCACAATGGGAACTGTGATGGATGATTACAGGCAGCTATGTAATCAATGTAAGCTAATGCTGCCTCCCACTCACTCCAATTCCCTTCTTTCACTTGACTGCTCACTGCATTCTCAAACTTTCTATGTCCCTTTACATTCAGCCCTACTAATTCAATATTTGGCCACTTGGCTGGCATTGGGAACTGGGCTTCATTCACTTCAGGAAAAATGAGATTGAGACATCTGCTCCTATTCTCACCTGTTGCCCCAATGCTGCACATTTTAAAGATGCTGCTTGAAGTAGAAAGATCAAAGAACTCTTTGGTTGAAAAAAATGGAAATTTAGCCATGTAATGATTAATGACATCTCCCAGTGCTTTTTCAAGGTCGTGATTACTAGCCCAAGCTGATTTCTCAATCTCTGCAATACCTTCTTGATAATTCCCTTCTTCAAATTTAATGATGCCATTTAAAAGAAAGAAAGCTGCCTGGTCATCATGGTGCATCTGGTCAATGTATGCACCAAATGACATCATCATCATAAAGTACTTGATTGCTTCTACGGTTTTGTTTTTAATAGCATCTTCTTCATTGA